TAATACGGTGTTTGAATAAAGGACAATAATACATCGTGTAGCATAGCATAGGTTAAAGGAATTTCTTTATTCATTTCTTTGAGAGCTATGCTACACGATGTATTATTATGTCCTTTATTCGCACACTGTATTTACCTTTCTGTGATGATTTATATGTAAGTATAACAGTGTTAACAGCAATCTTCATTTATATTATATGCATTTTTTTTATAGTCGTACCTATTGTGTAATGGAGTGTATCTGGCGGTATTTGAATCTGTTCAACCATGAAGCCATGTGCTTTATGGTTATGACGCACGTCTTGACAGTGAGAGGTCGCGGGTTCGAATCACGTCAGAGGCAAAAACTACATTCTTTGAGAGCTATGCTACACGATGTATTTTTATGTTCTTTAATCGAACAAAGTATTTACTTTTTTTGTTGTTGGTTTGAATATAATTTAACAGTGTTAACGGCAACCTTGATCTATAGTATATGTATTTATTTGTTTCTAGTCGTACCTATTGTGTAATAGAGTGTATTTTTTCGTATTTGAATCAGTTCAACAATGAAGCCTCTTTGGTCTAATGGTTATGACGCTCGCCTTGACAGCGAGAAGTCGCAGGTTCCAATGCCGTCGGTGGCATTTTATTACACAATTTATTTATTCATTTATTTATATGATTACAAACATTGAGAGCTATGTTACACTATGTATTATTATGTCCATATTCGAAAACTGTATTCACTTTTCTTTTATGATTTATATATAATTTAACAATATTAACGGCAATCTTGATTTATGTATATATATAAAATATATATATATATAATATATATATATATATATATATATATATATATAAAATATATATATAAAACTCAGGAACAAGGTATATATTTGCCAAATTTAATACAGAAAATTCACAAACGTTTTCCGTATCAAACATAGTTCAACAACAAAAGTTTCTTACAGTATTATAGTTGTATAAAAAGTGGCCTCCGGTGGAAATTGAAACTGCAATCTCTCGTAATCTTGGCGAGCGTCATACCGTTTAGACCACAGAGGCTCATACAGCCCTGATTCGGAAAAGGCATTAACTACATTTTTTTCAAAATTGAGATTTTTGTCTTACATGACTCCTGAGGGTATAATCTATCTATAATTTACTAGAAAGCCAAAAATATTACTCTAAATATATATATTTTTTTAAGTGGGCATTATCTACACACATCACTACAAATAATTTGGAATAAGGCATTAACTACACTAAAGGCCACAATACAGCACTGAACAGTTGACTTCACACACAGACTGGAAGCAGTTATCCAATCAGGTGCCAATGTGATGAATAATAATTAGGTCTCCTCTAAGATAATGCCTAGTTTGTTCCAGCTATATTCTGAGGATTAATTCGAAAGAAGGCATTATCTACATTGATTTTCTTATAACCTTTACGAAACTTCATATCATTCTGATGATTTCTTTTACTTTGACACAAGTAACAGCTTATTTAGGAGCTTCTTGACGTGTAATTATTATAAATATTAATTTTTATGCGAAATTATGTGCATCTTTTTTACATGCAATACTTTTATATAAATATTTTATTTGTTTATTCAATGTGTATTACTAAATATATTTTTTTCTGCTAAATTTATAAAAACTTAATATTAACAATCCATAAGCAATATAAATATTACTTTGTAAGTTTAAATAAATTTTATTTTGCCATCTTGATTATTGATCGAGTCCACATATCCAAGCGCTTTATATCCATTGGCAAAAGCTCTATATGAATGTCTATATTTATCGTTCAATGATGATGAAACATATACTACTTAATTTGATACCGTACAAAATATTATAATGTATCCTTTGTTTTTAAGTTTACATATTTGAAATAATTAATTTGAATTGTTTTATAAAAGGGTTGCTCTAAATATGTTTTTAGTGTCTGTAAAATTCATGGGAATTTAAGAATATCATTTCAGTAGCATTACTATCCAGTGACCATAACGATGATGATAGTGATTATGAAGATAATTGAAACATTTGGTGTGGCATTAGATTAGGAACATAACGGTAAAACTTGACATAAATTATAGTTAACTTTTCAAATTACCTCCAAATTTACCTTACATATACAACCCGAAGCCCACCATCAACACCGTCACCAAACCCCCTCCCCCGCCGGAAGGTAACCCACCTAAGCTCCACCAGGCTTAAAATATATAAAACCCATTCCATCTATTTTATTCTTTATTGGTTTACTTTGTATAATTTACTTAAGAAAACATTTGTTAAACATTTCGATAAAGAAATTATAATTTTCAATGCGAGTACATTTTCAAAATACTAATTTTATTTTTACATCAAATTTAGAAATAGGCCTACTTTTGAAAAACATTGTTTTTTATTTTAAATTACAAATCAGGGCAGCATAGATATCAATGTCATTATGGATTTAAGACCGCTAGTCACTCTTTGTTTATACCAGGGAACATAACTTCAGAGCTCACACATAGTGGATACAATTTTTTTAGCAGTCAATCATAAGAAATAATATGCAAATCAAATGCAGTTTAGCACTTGAATACAAATAATGTATAAATCAAATAGATAATAATACAGTGCTAAACAATTGTGGGAGTTTTGTAATTGGATAGAAAAAATACAGTACTGTACAGTGCCAGTATTAAAAACAATTATCATTATTACTATTATTATTTACACTGTTAAAAAAATATGTGCGATAAGAATATAAAGCCTACGCTTTCTCACGTCAAAGAGAATGCTTGTAGCAATTAATAAGACAACTTACCTGTTTTCTTTTCTTTTTTTTTTGGTGTTTTTTTTACTAATACGCCTTTCTCGGAGGCTCATGGTAAAATCATTACCCTTTTTGGTGGAACCAGGTAGGAGTTTGGTGGTCTTATATTACGTAAATAACGCAAGTATTTTCAGGGGCCTTCGGCCCTTGTGCCCTGAGTGGGAGCCCGTGTCAGCACTGCCCTTCAGCCTATTTGCTCTCTAAGCTCCCAAGGTTTTACCTTCCCCCCCACCCCAATTGAAATTGTACGTAAGTATTGATTCGCAAACGGCAAACAATAAATTTGATTGGATTTGAAAATTGATGTTTTGTCCGGTGCTTTTCAGTCTATGGACCTCAGTCGCCTTGTCTTCCTCTCTGGAAATGTGGTACTTTTATAAGACTAAAAGTATAGAAACCACCAAATTAGTTTATACCAAATGAAAACTCCTGTTTTCCCCCTACATGTTCACTGAAATGAACAATATCACCGGGGTAACACTTAATCTTCTTTAAAGTTCACACGAGTCAGATGTGTTTACACTGGGCCTCCATTTTAAGTCCTTATCCGAAAATACTTGGTTCTACCAACCGAACCATGGGCGAGGAGCGAGCCAAATGGCCGAGCGGTTAAGGCAGGGGCACCGTGATCATAGCCAACAATATCGGCACAGGTTCGCGGTCGGCTCGCTCCTATAGTTCTGGTGGTGGAACAAGTCTTCTCGGATAAGGACTATAAACCGTAGGCCCAGTGTACGCAAATGCTCATGTGCACTTTAAAGAACCCAATACGTCTTTCGAGATGAGTAGGGGGTACCCCGGTGTACTGGAACAGACAGCCCCTATGGTGGACGACGAGAGTTGCTGGTACCGGGTTACCGGGTAGCACAGACACGAAGGGACCCTTAAGGGTGAAGAAAATCATTGGTCGAGTTCCTAGTCCACATTTCAAGCGCCCTGAGCATCGTACATTAGATGGATATGTGCGCTACGGTATATAAAACTACACTATTATTATTATTATTACTGATTCATTCGGTCCCTGTCGTGTACTGGGCCCTCTGGGAGAACAGTAATTTGTTACTGAAGAGGAAACCCAGTATAAAGAACAAATAAATAAAAATAAAAAAAGGAGCGGCTACATCCCGCTGAGCGCCAATAAAAGGCTGTAGTTACCGTTCGGCCACTCGACTCGCCACATTCGTGTTTGCACACTATGCCAGCATCTATGCCAACATCATTACCATCATCGTAGTCATTTTAATCAACGTCATCGTCATCATCACCGTCATCTTTATCTTCTTCTCACCATCATTTTCATCATCACTTATATAACCATATTTTTATTATATTTTCTAGGCATTAAAGTAAATAAAGTTTCCGCAAAAGGACCTCTGGGTCCCTGTAAAACTATATTCTAACACTCTGTCCCTCCACCCTTTCACAAAAGAAGTTGGATCGCGTTGGATCACCTTTAAATCTCAGTACTCTATTAGGTATGTTTTTATCACTGGTAGGCCTACATTTGTCCATGGAGCTATACCTACATGATCTCTCTGCCATGAATTAACTAAAATCAAAGTTTATTCATATATGACCTACCAGAAGCAAACACAGCATTTTATGCATTATAATAACTTTATTTGAAAAGACGCTTTATTTGAAACAGCGGCACACGCACTTGCGGTGCATTCGTAAATATAAAGTAACATACACAAAATATAACATAGCATACTATATCCTGTGTATCCATAGCACGTTTTATTTAATCGCATTAATGATATTCACAATAACCTGCACGTCTTGTACATATAAATATAGAGTCATTGTTATTCAATGTATATTTATTCTTGCTTTTTGCACTTTATTCATGGAGGAATGAACAACTCTTCATTTACGTATGGCACTGATAATAAATATAATTGTTCAATAAATGTTAAATAAGCCTAGGAATTGTGATTTGGTCATCGAGTTATGGTACTTTTCCTCATTGTATTCTTCTTCTTTGTGTTGTTCAGGGATTTGGGGTCAAAGGCCATTAAGGGTTTGTTTTTTATGCTTTTTGACATTTCAAAACGCTATAGTGGCAAACGGTTGGGTAGATTTTATTCAAACTTGGTCAGTAGAACGGGCGGCACCTCACATACATAAGGTGTTCACTACTTAGGGTCAAAGGTCACATAGGGATCATTAGGCTATAAAACCCAAACATTTTGTAAAGACTACTTCTGCCACAAATAACAGAGACCAGTCTTGTCATTTGCATGCATTGGCATAAAGCAGCGTCTCTATAGTCTTTAGGGGTTTGAGGCCAAAGCTTATTGAACATAGTTTTTTTATTTCCTAGATATATTTCTATTCCATGTACTGTTCTGAATTACTGCTATTTTTGTTTGAAGATCTTTTAGTCAGCTTTAGAACTTCCATTGAGAAATATTTTTAAAGAAATATAATATATGGATTAAATTGATTTTCAAAAATATCATACAAATGTTGAAACATTAGTCAGATGTAGGCCTACGTATGTATACATAGTTTCTTTTACGGATGAATTGAAACATAAGCCTACCCTTTCCTTTTGAGACCAGTTTAATACTGTAGTATATATTGTACATGATATAAATTAAGCCAAATATTGTGTGTTTATGTGACCGGATCAGCACACAACTCAACATTATGACGTATCTATTATGTCGCTGGTTGAACCTATAGGCCTATATAGAATCGATCAACTCGTTCGTGTTATTTGGGATTTTTTCAGCACTTCCTTATTCCATTGTAAAAACATACCGTACTTCAAGTTCTGAAAACTATAGCTGAATCTATATTAACAAACGCTGAATTAGTAGATGTAAGTATGTTAAATTCTTGCATGTACTGTTACAGTACTGTATTCCGTAGTTTCATTGATACGTTATACATAATATTTTCTGTATTTGAGCAATGTTTCAGTTTTAAAACTTGTACATTGACTTTGAAAACTTCTTTTCTGTCATATTACAATTATATATATATATATATATATAAAAGAATATAGAAAACGAATACCATGTATAGACATT